TTTTTTATCATCTTACCTTAATACTTTTTTGAACAGAATAATGAGACAAATCAACCGGTGTAAAGAAAACACACAATTGTTAAAAAAATTTTTTTTAATTACATGTTACAAAATTGTGTTTTCTTTACACCGGTTGATTAGTATCATTATTCTGTTCAAAAAAGTATTAAGGTAAGATGATAAAAAATGAATATTTTACAAGATATTTTGTAATTTATGTCAAAATATTGGAACTTTCAAACCTTAATAAAAATAAACTTTCAAACCTTAATAACTCAAAAAGATCTTAATAAAAAAATACTTTATTATAGCGTTTTGGAAAGCTCTCGAGGTCAGCTACAAGAATATGTAATAAAAAATAGGGGATGCCATTTTAAAAAATTGGTGTGACATTTATGTGACCTTCAAATAATTCTTCAAGGTCAAACCTATGGCCCCCTCGGAACCAAACAACTTTTGTCTGAAACATTTTTTATTATTTCGCTTACCGGTCGAGTTATTCTCCATTAAAGGTTAAAATGGTCCACCCTGTATAAAGGTGTTAAATACACGAACATCTACCCTCTGCAAAAATAAGGTCCGCACGCGCGAGCATTCGTGTTTTGCGGACAATCGTCCAGCACCACCTCAAAGTCCTGGCCTATCTTCCTCCACTCGCGCAAATGCAGATCGCGGGCCAAGTCCTTAAAGAATTCCTGAGGACGATCGTCGTCGACCATAGTAGACAAGTAGTCTGTACTCTCGACTAGTGCACTATCGTCTACAATTAAATGCGTAATTCGGTAACAGGGTGAACAGAATGAATAAGATTCGACGTGAATTGTACGCGACGATACACAGATATTGTGACAAACCTACAACTCCAAGTGCAGACGTGTCGACGTCGCGCTGCCTCCAGGTAACGAAAACTCCGCCCAGCAATCCATGCAGAAACACAACGTCCATCTTCGTTGCCGGGTGAACTCTGTGCAGAGGATGAAGAAGATAAACGCTCTGCGAATACTTTGCTCTCTCATTCCTCTCGGTATCCAGATTCACCAACGCGCTGATCGCCTGTGACGACAGACGAATGTCGTCGCTGTGGGACCAACGCGACAATATGCCAATCCATCCTTGAAACAGTTATGCCAATGATGCAATAATATATCGCGGAGGTATCAAGTCTGTCTTACCGGATTCGTAGATAGTCTCCAGGTATTCGGAATGAAGGGACATGTTGGACAATATCCTCGCGAGCAGTATGCATATTTCTACGTCGTCGCTGAAAACTTTCTGTATCGCTGTCAATATCGGCAAGGCTCCGGCATTGATCAAGTCTAAAATTCCAGAATTAAACAGGAGATACAGGGAGTCAGCCTATAGAATCGTGCAGAATGTATGTCTCACGTTTGCTGTACTGTTCCACGGAGGAATGATGGCAGATTGCACGAACGCAGCTCTTGAGCAACTCGTCATCCCGAACTGTCGTCGTATTCATAGAAAGACCCACGCTTGTCAGGTCGTGATCGAACCATTCTACAAGATACTGTACATCAAACGGTTACAGCATCGATTATTTACAATTGCAATACTGCAATTGGCCGATTTTATTGCAACATTTCAGACTATGATTTAGGAATAATTCAATTTTTTTGCAGATATTTATATCTCCGAAGATTTAAGTAATTTTCACTTCAATTAATTACGTTTACAGGTTTGCTTTTATATACATTCAATTTTTAAATACTCACTCGATGCGAATCCTTGAACATTTTACTGAGGAATTGCGTGAGGCAGAGATGCGTGTTGCCGCATAGAGAGTTCAGACTCAACAGCAGCGAATGCACCTTTTCTAGTATGTCCTACAAAAGATAACCTTGCTTTACACAAATGTAATTCTACAATTGGAGAATATGTGCAGGCACGCAGTATGCATTTTATCCTGCAAATACGCATACTTGAAAAATGTTAAAATTGCAATAAATCAAAGGTCAAAGTTGAAAGAATCACCACATACACTTAAACTGTATTGCACGTGATAATACGGTGGTTGTAAAAAGAACAGCAAATTAATATTTGGCATTCTCGCGAGAGCCACCGCTGTTTTAGCATCCATCATCTGCGCCAAGTGGCAATACTGCCAATCTGAAAGATTTCCATTCTATAGAAACACTGCATGGATCTAACATCTGTTTAAGGTTTCAACGTTTCGTTCTGAGCGCGAACAAGTTGCAATCAACGTCAGGGAAACGTTGCGATGTTTGCACCTACCCTTTAAATGCGAAAGAGAACCAAGCACAGTCACGGCTTTATATCGCTCGTTTCTGTCCCCATGTTGCGCCATATACAGCAACTTATAGGCGAGCGTGTGATTCTTCATCTCCCACCATCTGGCCAGGGTGTCGCTGAGGCCACTCGACCTCTCCGACGCAGGTGGTCCATGCAGATCCTCGTCCTTCCTGAACATGAAGATGTCTGGAACCAGAGGAGCAACAATCAAGTTCACCCATCTGTCAGGGACGACGCGCACGTTGTGCCACGTCCGATGTCTTAGGGTCTATCCAGACAATCTTGCGTAGCGCATAAACGTATGCGTAAGGAATCCGCTTGGGCCGTGAGTGCACGCGTAATGAAATGAACAGTCAATTAATTTATACGTGCGCTTGTGCACCTATGCAAGTTTGGCAGAGAACAATCCGCTTAAGACTGTCTCAGTCGTAGACGTAGGGCAAGGCAGAGAGAAACGTAAGTCGTGAAAGGCTATTGTATACGATTTACGTTTCTCTCTGCCTTGCCCTACGTCTACGACTGAGTGTCCTCTGCCATCGGCCTTAGTCTGGACAGACCCTTACCTTTGAACTGAGGATCGTCGACGTAGATGTACTGCGCGCGGGTCTGCTCCAAGTTTAGCACGCTCGTGTTGAAAGCCGAGCGCACGATCTGCGATATCTGCCGCAGCTGATACAGGAACCAGCAGCTTCTGCGCGAGACAACAATTCCGAGTTACAGCACGGGGATACTCGACGCGACGTCGACCTTGGTCTCGAGTCACCTTGGAGTCACTTACCCGAGCGCGACGACGCAGATACCGCTGGTCTTCAGGTAGTACGCGTAGCCTCTCGACGCCCGCATCGCGCGCGACTTGCCAACTCTCCACTCGTCAACGATTGCCGACGAGGCGGAATCTAGTGCCGTCTCGCGAGTCTCACATTTTAAACTTTGAAACACGTCTCGCGTCGAACCGCTGTGGCACGCGCCGAAAAACGCGAAGCCGCGTTCGAAAGCGGGCCCTGATTGGCGCGTCCGCGAGGCGCGCGCCAATCACGGGCGAGTCGCGCGACCGTCGCGCGACTTCAAGCTCTTGACAGCTTGTCCAATGTCCTGTCTCTTCGCCCCACCTTTCTCGCCTTCTTTCTTCAAGATTCTCGGAGTGATGAAATTTTGTGTTAGACTTTTAAACTTAATTCCAATGATACCACGCTGTGCTCCGATTTCGTCTGATTAGTGGAAACTAGTCGGCCTGTACATAAAAGCTACATAATTTGTATATTACACAAATGTTTTTATGTATTGACAGTTCTGGGAGAGCAAACGGTGCAAAGAGGATCCTAAAGTCATCTGTGTTACCGACACATTCGAATATAATTTTTGCGCTGGTAAATCTTTTTGTTAGCTTTTATGCACAAAATAATGCCGGGATAGGTTGCGGACCGCATAGCAGAACATTTTCATACTTAAAACACTCAGGTGAGAAGTCTTATAATGATAAAGATATTGGCAAGGATTGGAAAGTTACTTTTTAAAAGTAACTATAAGTTACCGTTACTCGTTACAGAATTAAAAAAGTAACTAGTTACCGTTACTACCTTTGACTATATAATCATATAGTTATTATACATATAGTCAAAGGTTACTACTATTTAAAAAGTAACGATTCGTTCCTTTTTTTCGTTACTTTTAATGCCAAAACGAAGTAAGAGATAAGAGTAAATAAGAAATAAATTTGTTCTTAAAATGCAACTACAAGGATTATTATATTAGGATTTTGATTATAGAATTGTTTGGATAAGATTACCGCTATCGTCGCTGTATCCTCCCATACAGCACGCATGTCTAAAAGACATCTTTAAGACATCTTTAAGTCGTCTTTTAGACATACATATCTAAAAGACGTCTTAAAAACGTACCCACACAGCACAGAAAGTTTGCAGGAAGATTGCAGAAATGTTACATTGCAAGATTGCAATATTGCAGCAACGTTGCGCAACATTGCCATGCTGCAACGTTTCTGGAGGGTTGCAGCAACGTTGAAATGTCCGCCCTCAGAGAGATTGCAGTGCAACATTATAGCAATGTTGCAGTGCAATATTTTTGGAATAATTCCCACACAGCACAGAAAGATTGCAGGAAGATTGCAGAAATGTTACATTGCAAGATTGCAATATTGCAGCAACGTTGCGCAACATTGCTGCAACGTTTCTGGAGGGTTGCAGCAACGTTGAAATGTCCGCCCTCAGAGAGATTGCAGTGCAACATTGTAGCAATGTTGCAGTGCAATATTTTTGGAATAATTTGTCGTTGTTGTACAATAAGCAGAGAATTTACTAATTACATACATATGCATCCGGGCCTTTTTCAATACACGGCAAGCTATTGCGAAGCAACCTAAGGAGATAATGTCGCTTCGCAATAGATGGAGATTGCGAGCAACACCGCACTGATCAAGTACTTAATATAATTCGCGCATTATTGGTATATCAACGAAAATAACATTATAAAATTCTCGTAATTAGATAATTTTTTAAAATAGAAAATATATTTTCATTATTTTTGAAACATTGCTGCAATATTGCTATCGAAAGTTTGCAATTTTATATCCCTGCGATGTCTCTGCAAGATTGCAAGTTTCTGCAATGTAACTGCAACCATCTGTTATATGGGATTCGAATGTGTCGGTAAAACAGATGACTTTAGGATCCTCTCTCTTTGCGTCTATAAGAAACATTCTATTTTGTAGCCAATAAATACGTTCAAAAGATTTGTTGCAAGTTGATAAATTGCACATTATATATGTTGTACGATCGTACGTTGTCGATTTTTCTTAAATTTTTAAAGCGAATGTTTCTAGACGCGAAGAGCATTTTCCCCCACTTAACGCACGATAGCCAAAAACGAATTGCCACGCGCGAAGAAATGCAAAGATCAGCTTCCGCGATAAACATTAAATAGATACCAAAAAAAAGGAAACAGGAGGGCGATTTATAATCTAATAAGGTAAAGTCAACCTCGCGCGTCCATGTTTCTCCGCTTTTCCTGGTACATACACCCCTGCTGCCTGCGCGTCGCTGACGGAGGCCAACGGCCGGTGGGAAGCGGGTCTTTCGGCGCCGGAGCGACCCGTCCTGGTCGGGACGTCTCCTCGCCGAGCGGTGCGCGAGCCCAGGTCGCCCACGTCGACCTCGTTGAATGAGAGACGCGCGCGTGCACGATGAGCAACCGCTGTCAGCAGTGATCGCAGCCGGCGCCGCGCGACGACATGGCGACCGTCAAGGTGACGGAGCAGAAGGTTATACTGTGCGGCGAGTACGGCGTCGGCAAGACGTCGATTTTCCGGCGCTTCGCCAACAACACGTTCGTCGCCAGCAGCGACCGCAAGTCGACTCTGGGCCTCGACAACATCGACAAGGAGTACGTCGTCGAGGACCGACGAATACGCGTGAGTGTCGGCTCGTCGTGTCTACGTACGTGGGTGTATTGTTATGTGGGTCAGTCGCTTTCTTGCGCGAGCGGTGCGTCGACCACTTTGGAAAATTCCGCCCGCCCGCCGCCGTTTTTCCCCTTTGTCGATCGTTGCGTGTCGCGCCACGAAGTCGCAAGACTTGTCTCTCGCCTCACTGGCTTCCCCGCAGAATCGAGCTACGTGCGTTGAAACCTTCTCTCGAGTGCGACGGACTGAAATCAGTAAGCGAAAGTAGATGATGGAGCGTCTGGTTTTTGCACGTTAAACACTTAGATATTGATGTATTCAATACGAGGCTCCGGAATTCTTACTTCATTTAACTGACGCTTGCACACGGCGTATGAGTGTACATTGTTGACGAAAGCTCTGAGGCCTGGTTTCACAAACGCTGTTTAACTTTAGGCTCAGCTTAATCTATTCCTTGTCTCTTTCCGGCTGTTACTTTAGAAAGAGACAAACGTGAATTAAGAGATGGACAAGGATCGATTTAAGATTTCGTACGTCGACGAGGCAACCGACCCATCGTGTCTGTGCCAATCTGCGTAATTAATATTCGCGAACACGACGTCCAGTCTTGGAGAAGCTCCGAGGCTTAATGCGGATTGTAAGAGACGCGGCATGGTAAAACTTAGACCTGACGTCCCTGACTCTTGTGCTGTTCTTTTTATTCTTCTCAGCTGCAACTATGGGACACCGGCGGTATGGAAAGAGTGGCGTCCGTCACCTCGAGCTACTACAAGTTCGCCGAGGCCGCCATCCTGGTGTTCGCCCTGGATAACTCGACGTCGTTCCATCTGCTGTCCCAGCATCTGCTCGACATAGTCACGTATGCGGAGAACGCAAAGATATTCCTTTGCGGTAACAAGAGCGACTTGGAGAGCGTCGCGCCGCAAGTCACGGACGCGGAGATGGAACAATTCTGGTACTCGCGTTGCTTTCAACAGTTTCTTAATATGCTGCTTTTACATACAATTTTATATAAAAAAAATCTTGTAGCGAACAATGTCACAATCTGATCTCCGGGATATACAAAACGTCGTGCAAAACCGGCGAAGGCGTGAACGAGATGTTCGAGGATATAGCGCAGCATCTGGTCGAGGCTAATCGGTCGCGAATGGAGCTCCACGAGATGGACAAGGATCGATTTAAGATCTCGTACGTCGACGAGGCGACCGACCCATCGTGTCTGTGCTAATCTGCGTAATTTAATATTCGCGAATACGACGTCCAGTCTTCGAGAGTCTCCGAGGCTCGATGCGGATTGTAAGAGAAACGGGCGGCGGAGTAAAATCTTTTGTATCGAGCCCTTGTCACGCGTGACTTTCCTATGAGGGAAAGTTGCGTCTCGCGGAGAAAGAGATAGAGGAAGAGGGAGAGTGCGTGGCACGATCGGATCGGGTCCAGGACACGCGACAGCTGAAGCTCTCTCTCAACTGAAAATTTTATTACACATTTGCGAAATTAGATCCTACTCGACTAGGCTTGACCTGCTAATGTGATTTACGATCGGTATTATATTATACACTTGATCAATATACATGCTAAATATACTTAAGTTTTTAAAGACTACACGATAACACAAGGCACTAGTGCTGCGTCCATTTGATAGTCTTCAGGTCGATACCATCCTGCACCATCTCCCACAGTGGGCTGCGGGAAAACGAGGATATTAGGATTTTGGTACACGTTTCCGCGTAACGTCCCGGCTGATAAGTGTACAATAGAGAAACAGAGACGTCCAGCGATAAAGCTATTCCCTCCGAGAAACGAGATTACAACCGTTGCCAAGTCGTCAACGCCAAATCGTGTAACGCGTACGCGTTTGAAAAGTAGAGTTAAATAGGACCGTTACAATATAAATGAAACAAACGACGAAATGCGAAATTGTATACAACGGTGCGTGAATTCACATTTTAGATTATTATTGGGATACCGACATCTTGCGCGGGCCGAGAGGCGTTCTCGTTTGTTTGATTTGCAAAAGTGGGCCCTCCGTCGCGAAACAAACGTTTGTACGACAACTAACGAATGCGTTACCTCATCTCCCGAAGTCGCGTCACTTGTCGTATCGTACTGGCTGCCGTGTAGTCGATCTCCTCGAACGTTGTAAATCGTCCGATGCCGAACCTAGTTGAACAAGTGAATTATCAGGGTTGGGAAGTAACTCGTTACATGTAACGAAGTTACAGTTACGATTTTCGGTAACTCAAACTTTATTATTTTCTCTCCATCTGTAACTGTAACTTAACTCGGTTACATCTTCTCGATAACTAGCGACTAATTTAATAGTTACATTAAGAGTTACTTTATATGTATTTTAAACCCCCATCGCCTTTATCGACACTAAACAATTCAAGTGCAATTTGATATTTTTATTTTCATTGCAAGAAAGTAACTGCAAAGTAACGATTCGTTATTTTTTTAGTAACTGTAACTAGTTACATTTTTAGCAAAAAAAAACCGTAACTGTAACTAGATACTTTTATAAAGTAACTTTATAAAGTACGAGGGCGAGTCAAAAATTATCCGCACTTCTCGTTCTACAATTTATTTACACAAAAATAGGGGTTCAATATGTACGTCATTTTTCAACATAGTCTCCTCCCTTGGCAATGCACTTGGTCCAGCGGTCCACAAGCGTATTGCTTCCAAAGAAGAAGGTGTATTTCTTCCAAGAAGAAAGCCACTTTTGCACCGCTTCCTGCAAGCCCAGATCTTGCTCCCTCCGACTTTCATCCGTTTCGGCCGCTCAGGGATGCTTTGCGAGGTCGTCAAATTTCTACAGACGTAAACGTGCAGGAAGCGGTGCAAAGGTGGCTTTGCGACCAACCGAAAACCTTCTCGGAAGGTATACGCAAGCTTGTGCACCGCTGGACCAAGTACATTGCCAAGGGAGGAGACTATGTTGAAAAATGACGTACATATTGAACTCCTATTTTTGTGTAAATAAATTGTAGAACGAAAAGTGCGGATAATTGCTGACCCTCGTAACTTTCCCAGCTCTGTAAGTTATATATAGCGATAGAGATACGAAGCCATTGTTACTGCTTGTCAGCAAAGTTCCTGTCTCAAAGTGTATACCTGATGCTGGAATGCGCCAGATCCTCCGAGGCGCCGATCGCTCTCAGCACGTAGCTGGGCTCCAAACTCGCGCTGGTGCAAGCCGAGCCGCTGCTCAGCGCCACGTCCTTCAGAGCCATCAGCAGCGATTCGCCCTCGACGCACGCGAACGACAGGTTCACGCAGCCGGGATACCAGGCGACGGGATCGCCGTTTCGCACCACTTGCGGCAACTTCGACATTATCTTCTCGATCAGGTGATTCGACAGCGTATTGATGTATCTGTGATCGTACTGGAAAATACAGTGCCGATTTTAATACACTGAACAAGTCGTGCGCAGCGGGGAAACTCCCTCACTCACGTCCATCTCCGTCTGCGCCAGCTCGCAAGCGGCGCCCAATCCTACGGCCAGGGGTGCCGGCACGGTGCCGCTTCTCATTCCCCTCTCTTGACCGCCGCCGCTCTGCAACGGCTCCACGCGCACCCGCGGCTTTTTTCTGACGTAAAGGGCTCCGATACCTTGATGGCAAAATAGATCAAGACTGTAGACACATCGCTTTCTTATGAACGTAAACTAATTTTGATAACTTCTTGCAAATGAAAATTGTGGGCAAGATTACATATTATGACTGATAAAAACAAGTGATATTTTTTATTATATCTACTGAGGCGACATATAGAACAATAAATTGTCTTCTCAGAATAAATTTTATGTATGATAAAAGCATTACCTTTCGGGCCGTACAGCTTGTGACCGCTGATAGACATAAGATCGATATTCATGGCGTCAACGTCGATTGGTACTTTGCCTATAGCTTGCGCAGCATCCGTGTGGAAGAAAACCTTTTTCTTCCTGTATAATCGAAGAACAAGTGAATCTAAATCTCCTTGTGTCCACGATCCAAGAACTGTGTCAAAGTTCTAGTTTTGAAAAATGTGTAGCCAATCAACTTGCATCTCTTACGGAAAAGCTGCATGTTGATTGGCTACAGATCTCTCAGAATTAGAACTTGGATCAAGTTCTAGCATCGAGAACATAGGCCTTAAGAGATGACTATAACGGAATAATTTTAGCATAAAAATTCCGATACTCGCCTACAAATGGCGCCAATCTCTGCGATGGGCTGCTTCACGCCAATCTCGTTATTCACCATCATTACGGAGACCAGCGCCGTGGACGGTCCAATGGCCGCTTCCAGTTCGTCAAGGTCGACGAGGCCGTTCGACTTGACGGAGATGTAAGTCACGTCGAAACCTTCCGCTTCAAGGGCTCTACAGGAATCCAGCACGCACTTGTGCTCCTAGAAACAAGCAACGACTTGTAGACTCGCGTTCATCAGAGAGGAGCAAACTTGCCACGAAAGACTCCTCACTGTCTGGGTCGTCACAATGTGATTTTTTCTGGACTTGTAGAACCTCGCTACGCCCTTCACGGCGATGTTGTTGCACTCCGTCGCTCCGGACGTGAACACCACTTCCTTCTTCTCCGCCCCAATCAGATCCGCGACTTGCTGTTGAAAACAGGCGGGTGAGCCTCCGAGTCGTGCAACGAACCGTTAAAACCTTCAGGCCTAGGATACCAACCTGGCGCGCGTGCTCGACCGCCGCTTCCGTTTCCCAGCCGTACATGTGAGTTCTGGAATGTGGGTTGCCGTGGTACACCGTCAGATACGGCATCATCTTGTCCAACACCCGGGGGTCCTGGCAATTCGTCACTTTGTACAATTATCTATGCGTGGATTGCGCGAATCGTATCGTACGACGTAACACCTCGGACTTACCAGCGGAGTGGTGGCCTGGGCGTCCAAGTAAAGAGCCCTACCCTCCATCGGGCCCTTCTTATACTCGTCCGTGATGGGAGCTACGTGGAAACGAGCGGTCGTTATTAAAAATGACCAGGCAAATCGAGTCGACAACACTCACATTCGTACTCGGTGACCTCCGACGATCGCTGGCCGCACGTCGTGTGTAGATTGCGATCCTTGGCGCGACGCAGCGCGAGGACCAAGCCCCTCCTCGACCAAAACATCTTAATCGTCTGCCGTGTCAGAAAGGTAAGCCACGCACGCCGAGTGCTCGCATGTTCTAACCTGGTAAACACAGCACCAGCCGCGCTCTCCACCAAAATAACAGCGAAGCTGACCGGGGAATTCTGGGCCCTAGGATACGAACGTTCTTTCGCGCGCCGATTGGCTGCCGGGAGACAAAGGTCCTCGCAGCGTCAGAAATTTCCCTATCGGACAGCCAATCGGAGGACGCGTCGAGCCGCCACGTGCTGCGGCGCGAACATGACGAACGCAAAAATTCTTTCGATCGATTCTGCAAAGAAGTCCGCTGTGTGCGATTCTCGTTTACAGTTGGAGGGAAGATTTTCGGCGTCCTTGCCCGCGTATGGACATTCGATGACGCGAATATCCATTTTAACGTATGATTGAATCAGAAGCGATTGTTGACTTCTTTGCATTCCTCTTATACTTTTATTTGTCATAGATAAACGTATTGCATCGTACACAGTGTTTTACGTAGATAAAGTTGAAATCATCTAGATGAAGATAAGATAAGACATAAAATTGTATCTTAGATAAGATATAGATTATTTATTTCTAGTTTATGTAGATAATAGATGAAATTATAAGCATTTTATCTAGATGATTTCAAGATAACATTGCTTTAAAAAGTAATTAAAGAAAAAATAAAAACAATTATATTTCTAAATCTATTAAAAAAGCAGGATTATATTTAATTGGCTTGTAAAAGAATAATGTACAATTACATTTATAAAAATATTGCAATAGTTGTGCACAATGTATTGAGAAAATTTAATTTACATATCAAAAATTACAAATATTCTAACAGATAATGCTACAAATTTTAATGCTAAATCATTTAGATGCTTTAGCATCACATATGAAAATTGTGATCAAAATTGACTCACGTTAGAAGCAAATAAAGATTTGAACAGTATGGAATAGTGTGAATCAGATATTGAAACTAATAAATTTGAAATATTAATTTCTTCAAATACTAATAATGTTGTACATGGAAATGATAATTGTTTGTATGAATTTCGGATAAACTAGGAAATGAAATTATTTACCAATGATAAATAATGGGTTAAACCTAGCCACGAAATACTGAGTTCTGCTGAATATGCAACCATTATCTTAGATAATTTTAGACAGATAACGTATTTTTAAGTCTAAGATAAAGATGTAGATAATACGTTTCATTCTTATCTAGATAAAGATGAGATAAGGAAACAGCCTTATCTAGATGATCATCTAGATCATTTCATCTAGATAACAGAAAACACTGATCGTACATATAATGCAACTTGTAATCTTACATGTATTTGAAACCTACGAAACATCCCATGTCGAAATGACATTAAAATTATCTCGAATTCTCTCAGAATTATCTTACGTTTTTTTTTACATAAAGAGAATATGACACTAACATGTGTGGCGTCATAAACTAGCCAATCTAGACAGCACAGAGAATAGAAGAATTCTTTTCGAATGGCCGAATTACAAGATGAATTCTTCTTCCATCTCAGCTCTAAACATATCCTTGACAGTTCAAAAAGAATTTTGCTGAAAGAACTGGTGGCTTTTGTGCACAAAAACCACCAATTCTTCTTCGGATACGAAAGCAATTATTTCCAGAATAATTTTACTTCCATAAGAAGTCGCATACTTGTATGGAATGCTCTTACTCTTCGACACCAGAAGAGAATTCTTTTGAGTTCACTTCAAACAGATTGATACGCGGAGAATTTAGAAACGCGTCAATACTTTTTGACTTCGTAACGATCACCCGTGCTCTGGGGATGGAAATAGCGAGAAGAAATTGGAGACTTTCAATACACTCATACTTTTCCGCATTTTCCAAGCATGCTTCTGCGACTGCCTGGCGGACACGTGCCGTCGTAAACGGTTAATGGTATTATCACGAAGGGCGCAGCGTTCACTGGCACACATTGCAACTGGAAAGTGGTCTCGTTCACACCTAATACTCCTTCAGGCGCACACGGGCCGCCTATAGTCCTGAGAGGATAACACGCGCCGTTGTAGGGCACCACGCCGTCCTCCGAGCAAGGGTTCCCCCAGCAACGAGGCAGCGCCTCGTTCCTAGGAAGTACAACGTAACTCCCAGGTGGACAGGGACCCTGCCTGTAGGCCTCGTGGCAGGAATTGCTCAACGGGAAGTACAGGAACCGCGGCCTGCAGTCGCACACCCAGGAATTCGTCGCGCCGCTGCCCGGGTAGAGGAGCATGTTTATCGGGCAACTGTCCGGTATCGACACGGGGATACGATCCGTTATCGCCTGCGAGAATGAGTGTGCATGAGAAGGAGCTCTTCGAAATTCTATATTAATGTCACATACCGTAGAGTTGCCACCGCTGACGTGGGACGTCTCCTCGTCAGTGGGGAATACCAGATCCTGGCCCCATATCATATAATTGTGTACGAGAAATACAATTCCGACGTACAAACGCTTCATCCTCTCTATCAGAACGAAACTGCGCCGTCGAGAAGACTAGAAGTGTCTACAAACTTTGGTGTAGGCGGGGATGGGTGATGCCAGACATAGTTTTGCATAAATTAACATTAATATGTTCCTAACGACTGGGCAGCGGTAAAAATATCTCGACCCGCTTCGAATCTTCCTCCATTCAACGACAAACTAAGAGAGAAAAATATCAGTGAAATATATACTCTGGAAAGAAAGTCCTACAATTGCTAATTATCTAAACAATTATTAGCGTTATAATTGTGCTCTAACAATTACATTTTTTACTCTAATGTATACTTCTAACATTGAGATTTTATGTAGAAATATCAACAATAGGAAAATCTCTTAATGTCGATAACGTTAGGAATTTACATTTTTTTCAACAAGCTGCATATATTTCACGTTACAAAGTTAATTCTTATTTTATGTCTTAAAAAAGCTGCGTAACAATAATACATTTCAGTTGTTTTTAATAATGGTTAGAAATAATTACTATAATTCTTTTTATACATAATGAATTGTTTATTTTAATACCTCAAGCAATTATAAATCGCTGGTTTTGGATATAGTTGCAACATTTTTGGGCATATAAAATTAAGCTAAACGGAATATCCGTTTGTATAAAAAAAAATTACTTGTCGAAGTCATCTAATGTCCACAACTTACATACATTTTCGTACCACGGTATCAAATGTAAAGAATAAATTTGAGCACTAAATGAAACATAGAGATTTCATTAAATCTTGTTACCAAGATCTGCAATATAATTGTTACACATTTGTATATTTAAAAAATACTGATTTAATAAGATCTAGAATAATTTAGGATGCAAATAATTTAAAATAGCATCAATGTGAAAATGGATATTCTCAACGCAGTTGATTAAATATCGATAATACCTTTTTTAAAGCTATTAACAAACGAGACTCGTACACACGCGAATGCTGACACGCTGTTCGGAAATTAATAATCTCGAAAGTTGTCAAATTTCAAGTTTCAGAATAACTTTTCATCGGTATACATACTTCGAATATATAATTTAGTTTCAGATTTACCGATCTTTCGAGAGATTCAAGGAATCCCCCATGTCGGCCGATTGCGATGATTGTTGCTTTTTATGCAACGCCGTCATGTCCAGCATGCCCCCGAAATCGGACTTGACGCTCGATATCGTTAGATCCTCCATTCCTTGATATTCGCCCGGCCTACTGACCTTCGTCAGGTCGGTCTGTGAGTCCAACTTCTTTCGATCGTTCGTGTAATCGTCCACGCCCACCGAGTAATTTCTGCAGGGATCCGACGAGCCGAGGCCCTTGAAGGGCGACGGGATCGCATCGACGGTGACGAAATCACCCGGCTTGCGCTCATTACCGTCCATGTCCTTCGCCGGCGAGATCTTGCCGAGGGGCCCGAACAAGTTTGCGATGTTGCGCATGTACGTGGACGGCGAGGGCGACGAGGTCCGTGTGAAGTCCGCGATGGAGAAGCCCGACAGCTTCGCCAGGTCGGTAGTGGGGAAGTTCGCAAGCTTCGTCAGATCCGAGAACTTGGTGATCTGCTGAGTGATGTCCGCCAGCGGGAAATCGGGATTCGTCGACGTTCTAGACTTGGTGCTGCTGTCGCCAACCAGATTTGGCAACTTGGAGAAGTCCGCGGGCGCGAAGTCGTACTCGCACTTGGTGTTCTTCACCGACACAGTGAGTTCGCCCGACTGGAAGGTCGGTATTATCTCCGACGGCGATATGTGCTTGGAGCCCACGACAGAACTGCTGTCTTTTATCTGTGTGATGGACGCGGCGTCGTTGGAGCCCAGGTTGCCGTCCTTCTTGATGCTGTCCCGGGACGTCGACGGTTGCAACACGAAGGGCTTGGACGTGGGCGTGATTATGGCACCACCGTCAGGCTTGAAGTTGACCGGCGTGAGGAAAACGGCCGCGTTACTGGCCGTGAGGCCTACGCCAGGCGGAACCGGAGGCCCCAGCGACTCCGAGGCAGACACCAACGGAAATTTCATGGTCAGGAACTCGGGCGTGTTGCCATCCTCGGAGCCTGGGCAGATCATCTCTCTGATCGCGTCCCAGTACGAGCTGTTCGATCTGTTTCGACCCGGCAGCTTTGACGCCAGGGAACACTGTTATTGAAATTTTCGATTATTAGTATACAAGATTAACAAGAACTTGCCTGCGTCTGTCGCGAACTGTTAATGTACTCACCCTCAAACGTTCGAGATACGTCGTGTTACCATTAAAATTGGCAGTGAAGTCAATTCCACCCTCGCTCTTATAATATTCTATACATCTTCTCTACAAAGATAATTATTATAAATATCAGTAATCACAATAGCATATCAAGTGTGATCTTCCATAGGATTTGATCACCTCATTTTCGATTTTTTAAACATCTTAAGCCAGCGGCACACGATACTATCTTGCCTACTAGAGTGTTTGCGAGAGTCGATCAGGATTTAGGCTTCAAGTCACCTGATCCAAAACTCTCCATCCTGATTGACTCTCGTAAGCAATCCAATAGGCAGCAAAATAGTATCGCGTGCCGTTTAGCTTTATTCGGTTGCACTTGAATTTACACACGACAGAAATACTGGCACACGAGTTAGCTGTAAAAAAAATACTTACAATCTCCTCCAACGTGTCGTGGGAGAGAAAGTGCTCCTGCGACAGTGTGTAACTAAGAAGCATAGGTCGAGGATACTCGTGGGGTCTGTTCTCGGGCGGTGGCAGAGACCAGAAGACATTGAAATTTGATTCGTAGCAATTGCCATCCGTATTGTAAGGCGCTGCAAAACAGAAGCTAGTAATCACTTGGCTTCCGCATTGTCGTCGCGTGACAGACGCCCGTGAAACACCCACAGCATATCAATCCCACGCACGGTATGTATCCATTGTCGCTGGGCCCCTTCATCTTGATCTGATAGTCCAACTGCGAGTCCACGTCTCTAAGGGAGGGCGACGCGTGGGAGCGCGGATGGGAGTGATACCAGCCTACCAGCGTGACGCGCTTCCACTCCATGGCTCTCGCGATTTCAGCCTCCACCGCCGCCGCGGCTGACTTGTCCTTGCCAGAGTATCGGCACGGAAATGCGCACGTTATGGAAAGATCTACGATAAATGAGAAGCATCAACGACACATTCCAATTATACGCAGGATGAAATAATTATGTGAAACGTACTGTGCGAGTTGATGTCCCAGTGGCCGCCCAGGTAGCCGCAGATCTCCTTGTCCGTCAGGTGACAGTGCAGGTCCACCAGCAGGGCCGCGGTGGTCGTGATCGTCACCAGGAAGGGCTGTATCTTTCCCAGGGTGCTGAATGACGTGAGTTCCACCATCGTGCTCATGTCCCTGCAAAGTGACAGAGTTAGAATGGTCGTGCGAACGTTTCGGACGCGAACAGGCACGATTTCCTCTCTAGGAGAGAGAGAGAGAGAGCCTACATCGCGTGGCTTCGTATCCCCAGATTGGTGTGTTTCACCGGAACCCGCACTATCTGGACCAGCGGATTGATCTGGAACTTATCTCCGCTCTCCTCTGCGACGTCGGTCAGAACCATTTCCATGATTTCAGTAAACTTTCGTAGACCAAACGGCGAAGATGCGGCGTCGCGAAATCCTGCTTCTCTTCCTTTTCTTTTTCTCCCCCTCTACGAGCTACAAACGTCGAAGCAACGGCGCTCGCCTCATCGGGGAATCTCCATCGTCGCGCGTATGTTGTCTCTCAGAAACGCGTCGGCAGATAATCCGCTAACTGGCGTGAATGACGAGTGAATATTCCTGTGACAGGTCGAAGAGACGCTACGTGCGTTCGACAGCGTGATTGACAGCGTTATCACCCAACCCAATCTGACTTGACGGCGCATTGTTGACGAGAGTCTGTTCTTTGTAGGCCCTGGTGAAAATTTTTCGCCCATGAAAAGGCACCTTAAAGCAGTCTCAGCTTTTTCAGCGTGACGCGAAATTCAACAGTATTTAGTAATGAACGACAACGAGAATGATGTAAGTAACATACTATTATTATATGGTATGTATGGAATATTTTAATTATTTTTGTTGTGTATATAAATATACTGCTTTTTGGGGGTGTTAATAAGTTATAATTCTACATTTTTAGGTTAGTTGGATATATATCTGCAAATATATGAGTGATTAAAATAACTTTTGTAGGCGGATAGCTGTTTGGATTATGTTAGATATGTTAAATAATTAATAATAATTTTTTTAGGAAATGGCAACGTTGCAGACATGCGGAGTTTGTGGAACACTTTGCAATGTTGACGAAGTGTCAGACCACGTATGTCTGAAGGGATACGGGTGTTATATTAATAAGGCAGAACGCTATTTTTATCCACTTTTAGGTATACATTTTATCTTCTATAAATGTATTTTATTATATCCTAGGTATATTCCACTAAAATAATTTTTTGTAGATGATGGAAGGACGTATCTGTGCCGTGTTTACATTGATGGCGTAGAGAAAGTAGTTCAGACCGACATTGATACAACCTTTAACCAGAATATACGTAAGTTATGATTTGTTGGTACAATAATGAGTTCTCCTGCTCCTTTACAATCAAATCAAATTTTTCCACTTGATTTGAATTGTGGCAGAAAATTGCCAATTGGCGAACTCAAACTGTCAATCTGAAAACAGTGCTGTCAACAATGTTGGCAGCAAAAAATTATAGCTAATTTTTAACTCAGTCCTTTAAGATATAAATCAATTTGAAACTTAAAGACCATTTTAGGACCTGGTACAGGTGGAGGTGCCCAATTAAATTACTAAGTGAATCCATATATCGTCTTTTTCCAACCTTTTCCTGCGCGCCGTTACTTACCGGACATATAACACAGATTTTCGTTAGGTGGAATCATTATCGTGAGTGAATTCACGTGTTATAAAAATCGCTGAACGATTTGACAAATTATTTTTTAAATGCTATACTTAGCATTCCATTAACCCTCCCTCCCCGTACTGAATTAAAATTCTTATTGCGAAAAATATTATCTCAGCCAGGACGATTCGAACCTGGGACCTCCCTCAATCCGTGATGGTTCGAATCCTGGCTGAGGTAATATTTTTCGCAATAAGAATTTTAATTCAGTACGGGGAGGGAGGGTTAATGGAATGCTAAGTATAGCATTAAAAAAATAATTTATCAAATCGTTCAGCGATTTTTATAACACGTGAATTCACTCACGATAATGATTCCACCTAACGTAAATCTGTGTTATACATATGTCCGGTATGTAACGGCGCGAAGGAAAAGGTTGGAAAAAGACGGTATATGGCTTCACTTAGCAATTTAATTGATCACCTCTACCTGTGCCAGGTTCTAAAAACTAAAAAAAAAAGTTACAGTTACTTCCAAAAGAAAGGCCTCGAAGAAATCGAAGAAATTGTCGCTAGAAGAGGAAAATAATTTAATTTTAGCCGTTCAATGTAGAAGGCCTCTGTGGGACAGTAACCAACCGGTGAGCGAGAAATCCAGGAAAATCAGGAAACGGCTCTGGAAAGAAGTTGCCGATGAATTAAATGGTAAATAAATAAATATTTAGTACAGTTGAATTGGTTGTATATGATAAAATCTGATTTTTCTAGGAGTACTCGACGCAGCTGCTGTACAGCAGAAATTTAAGTCATTACGCGATACATATCGCAAAATAATTCAGTCAGAACAGTACTTCCCGAGTGGATCTAGAAGAAATAAAAATGATGGGGACTGTTACAAGTGGAGGCATTATAACGCAATGGAGTTTCTTCGTGATACCAGTCTATCGAAGGAGTAAATAACTGATTTTGCTTATTATTATATAGTAATGTTCCTGGCACAACACAATGGTGGACTTTATCAGCTTCAAGATCAAGTGCAAAATACAAAATCTGTTTGGCATGGACAACAATAGCTCTGATATGTAGTTAATATGTAGTATAATAGTTCTATTATTATTGCTTTGTTTGACATGTTTTAAAATAATAATAATCAAACTGTTATTTTTAATTTTATTATTATTAAACTATTTTAAAGACGCAATAATAATACATACATTATCCATGTTAAACAGACTGCACTTTATCATGACGATTACTCGACCAAATTTCTGAAATTGTCCATTCTTTGTGCCAGGAACATCAACAGTAATAAAATTATTGTACTATAATTCCACAATTTGTTTTTGTAATTCTTGCTTTATTTATTGTAGTACGTCGAGTAATATTCCTAGCTTAGAGAACGAGCTATCAAATAATTCAATGGACCAATCAACTTCTCAAGTGCAAAGTCCGATTCACATAGATTCACCCGACGGTAATAACTTAGAAAGTATTTATGATCAGTTTTATTTTTTCTATATTGTTAGTATATAAAAATTTGTTTGCAGCGTCATCATCAAGTACCCTTACGAGTCGTAAAAAGTCAAAACTCGATAGCAATTCCATTATTAACGATAGAGTAGCTACTTTTACGGATCCGCTCGATAAACTAATTCAAGTTATTGATAGATGGGAAAAGACGTTAAATGTTGCACCAGTAAATACAAGTAATCCATTCGATGCGGTAGATCATATGCTACAAACAGCAGCATTACAATTGCGTAAAATGTCGCCTGAACTACAAATGCAAACTCTACAGGATATTGTTCAAATGACTTTCTCTAGATTGCAAGAAGAAATGAAGAATAATTAAATATCTTTTAGCTAGATGTTTAATTCCGATAATTTTTTATTGACTTTTTTTATATTGATACAAGCAATTAGCTTTAAAGCTTTATAAATGTAATAAATGTATAAATGTAATAAATGTATTAAAACAATATTTTTATATCTTTTTATTTTTTTCCTTTAAAATGTGGGTTATTTGCGTAAATTATGTGACAATACACGTGTAATAAAAAATTTTTTATTACTGCCGTCGAAAATACTGCCAGGGTATAGCACCCTCACCGTTAAAATAATCACAAAATTCATTTCTGATATTTATAGCAGCTCGAGAAGAATTGTTAGTGCCACAATTACCAAGATCTGTCAAGGCATGACTGCTATCCATTTCCTTTCTCCAACTTCCAGGAATAAAACCATTAGGTTCATCGCAATCAACCATATCCGCAGAAATATATTCATTTTTGTCTAAATCTTGTTTTCGAAGCCAATTATGAATGCAAATGATGGCTCGAACAATTTGCATTGTGTTTTTTGCAGTAGCATCTATAGGCTTTCTCAATATTCTCCATTGGCTCACAAGAACTCCAAACGTATTGTCGATTGTTCTACGAGCACGACTGAGACGATAATTATAAATGGTTTTTTCGTGATCAAGTCCTCCTTTTCTTGGATATGGTCGTAACAAAAAATCAGATAGCTGGAATGCCTCGTCGGCAACAAGAACATATGGCATAGGATCACCATCAATTGTGAGTTTCTCAGGTTCTGGCAGTCTCATTTCTTTATTAAAAAATTTCTGGCCCACGATAGAATCTCGAAAAATTCCGCCATCATTACGCCGGCCATAAGCACCGATATCGACAAATGTAAACATATAGTTGGCATCACATATCCCGAGGAGTACAATGCTATGATGGTTCTTGTAGTTGTAATATAAAGAGCCAGCATTATGGGGACAATAAAACAAATAAAATGATATAGCTCGCCAGTCGCCATAGTTAAATAACATCAAATAAAAGAAATAGCACTGTGTACCTGAATAGCAACGTGTTTTCCATCAATTGCGCCAATACAATGATTAAAATCCCACCGATCTTCAAAATTTTGTGCGATGCTGAGCCAATCCTCCTTACTTAATGGAAAAGGAAGCACTTCTTTTGCAAGGCAATCCCACAATGCCGCACATGTCTCAGCAATAATGTTTGACACTGTTGTAGTTTCAACAAGATACTGGTATGACATAGAGTTCGTTGAATCACCAATAGCCAAGTATCTGAAAAAAGATTCTGTATCTAATATTATCTTTATGAAAAGAACGCATTCAATTCAACATATCCAGCTTACTTTAATGTCATGGATAACCGTGCTGCAGCAGGTATGGGATCTCGAGTCATAGTTCGTTTTGTGATATAAGGTGCAACCAAAGCCAACAAGTCCTCAAATTGCGATAATGACATCCGCATGTAATTTTTATACTCAAGTTCATATCTTGACAGAGTTGGACAGATCGCATTATAAAACCCATACTTATTTCTTAATCTAAATATAGGATGCGCCCAGAAACGCTTTTTTATGTAGGACCGTTTCTTTTTTTCCTCTGAATTCATCCGCGATAATTCACGCATAATAACAAATAGTAGTATGTCATTCAGGAGTAGTTTCTTTTGAGCATTATTCACCTGCCTCGCATGTTCTGTCACCCATGTACGATATTTTTGCATAAAGGACATTATGTTCAAGTTTGATTCAATTAATTGAAGGAAGTCTGTCCGTACTCACAATCAATATACTGAAAAAAAAGAATTTAGTAAAATAATAGCCAAATCAGGTGTTACTTTATTTAGAAACTAAGATCGCCTTAGGAAACGATCTCCAATTCCTCGTTGAGAGCGCAACGCGTCGTCTCAAACAATTACCATTAGTTGTTAATACTTACTATATATTTAATTATATCCACTGAATATCGCATTGGCGCTATTTAAATAAATATTTAGGGTAATACTGAAGGAGAGAGCCTCTCACTCTCCGTTTGTTATGAACATTCACAGGATCGTGTATTTTGGCCTGTAAACCATGCACGAATCTGCAAGTTAAAATCGTCGATTCGTCGCTCCCCTTATGAAACAATACACTCAAATCATGAAACACTCGATTATGAAGGTTTAGGGCACTGATCTATATTATAACTGGATAGTGGATGCCCCCTTTCTAGCGCAAATTTTCTGTCCCCACCACTGAAATATATACTAACTGGAACGCGCGCTAGAGCCGACTAGTGATGCCAGAATGGTCGCGCTTTTTAGCGCATGCGCGTCGATTTGAGGCTCACTGAAGTACCTACTACGGACAAATAGGTGTATCGCTAGTCGCCCGTAAGAAATTTTCTTAAAGAAAATTCTAAATGATAATTTTTTACCGGCAGTAGACCGTTTTAACAACGACACATCTTTCTGTCTGCATATAACTATACTACATATACATATTAATATATAAAAAACATCTATCCTCCTGCACGACGACGGCCGACGAGTTCAGACAGTTCTTGCGCCCATTATACCAATACTGACACGCCACTGGATATCTGCCATTTCTACTGCTCATGCGCTAAAAAGCGCGACCATTCTGGCATCACTACTCAGCCGAGCCGTGTGTACCGAGAGAGAGCATCGTCGAGTGGCGTTTGTCATTGTCTGGCTTATAGGGTGGTCGAGAGTGGGGACGGAAAGGTACAGTCCGATCGAGAAATTAGCTCGTTGTCAGAGGTTACACGATCTCGCGCAGTTGTGCTGCGCTTCGAGATAACTTTTAGTTCGAACTGTACTAGACAATGACAGACGCCACTCGACGACGCTCTCTCTCGGTACACACGGCTCGGCTCTAGCGCGCGTTCCAGTTAAGCTGCATTCGGAAACATCACCCGGGTGTCCCCGCGTATCATTTTATCCTTATTTAATATTCGGCGAGTAACAAGGATAAAATGATCTACTGAGGTACCCGGGTGATGTTTCCGAACGCAGCCTTAGTATATATTTCAGTGGTCCCCACCATAGAACTTATAAACATGGAAGGGGAAACGGATCGGCACAAGTGAAGCCAAGAAGTGAGACAGAAGAAACTAGAATTCTGTCTCGTTCTATGACTTTTCCTCGAAATACGCATGCGCAGCCAAAACGAGATTACAATAACGCATGCGCAACGATTTTAACGCATGCGCATAACGGACCAAAGTCATCTTCTATCTATCCTTGTCACACAGATGTTGGACTCAGTTTCAGCTCACGGAGAATATATGCTATTCCCCTTCCATGTTTATAAGTTCTATGGTCCCCACTTGAACAGCGCCATGTTGGAGAAAGTGTGCCATTTTCGGGCATCATCGGTAGCTGTCGTAAATCGTCGTGCGCGCAGTCGTATACATATCGTTTCTCAAGTAGGAGGGAGTCGTTAGGTTAGGTTAGGTACCCAGGTAGAACATAAAACTCATAATGACGTCATAATGACGTCATCATGATTTAATTCATCACTTAAAAGTTACCCAAACAAAAATGATTGAAAAATGATTTAAAGAAGACATTATTATTAGAAATAACTAATAATAAACATTATTGCACACAAAATGTAGTACTTTAAGAGATCTGCATGTGTTAATAATGTAAAAATTAAAACAAAATAGGTATTTATTTTTAATGGGAAATCAACTTAAAAACAAAGAATCATAGATTTTAAGTACATATTCAAACATATTGATACTTTTACGTAATAGTTAAAAGAGAGTTAAAATAGATAATTAGAGGAAAATTTGTTAATTTTCATATTAACATGATGTACTTATATTATTCTAATATGATTGTCAGAATTTCTATTTTGAACTACTTCTATTTTTTTAAAATCATTTTCTGTTATGCACGCGCAGTTTTTTAAAGTTGCTTTCCCATTAAAAATATTTTATTTTAATTTTTACATTATTAACACATGATCTCTTAAAGTACTACATTTTGTGTGCAATAATGTTTGTTATTAGTTATTTATAATAATATGTATACTCACTAATAATATAATATGTATAATGCAAATAAATTTCGTGTATCAATCAATTTGAGATAATATTCTTCTTTTTGGAGGTCATATTAAAGTCACTATGATATCATAAATAAGTCACCAAAACATAGCCAAAAATGTATCAAATGAGATCATTATGATTTTTCCAAAATGACTTTTAAGTGATGTCATAATGATGTCATTATGAGTTTTATGTTGTACCTGGGGATACACGTTAGTCTCATTCTAACTTGTGTATAGTAAGGGGAATGCGCAGTCCATATATTATAGGTCCATGATCGCATATCACTCCTTTGTAAACCCATTTTTCTAAAATTTGCATATATGGCATGCTCGCCGCTTGAATGAGATACAAGCACAGCTCTTTAGATTTTGCCTCGCCGCTAACGTTGTTCAGTGTCTGCTCATGCAGAAGACTCGGTACTTTGTCCCCTCTAGCATTTGCCTAGAATCAAATATTTTACATTAGTTATATCGTAATTCAAATTTTTTAAGTTAATTAGCAAATACAGCTCATATTTCCTACGATTATTTGTATATCTAGAATTAAGTGTAATTAAAGTTATTTAATTACTATTAACTGGTATTTTGCACTAACGTTACATATCGTAGATGTAATCTGAGAGAGTATGGACATCGTAAGCATAGTAGGCTGAATGTAAAACCATAGCTTCTGCAAACTTAGTTCACCATGAATGTGTTCTGTCTCGAGTTGCACGACGAAGAGCTAAAACACGGCGTACCAAATTAATTATTTAAACATGTACTAGACTGGAGAAATATAAGTACGCTATATGCTCCGAAGTTATATACTTATCGCAATTTATTGTACCAAGTAATCTTTCAGCAGGGATCGTACAGCTCCTCTTAGAGCATGATTGACCTGTCCGTCGTCCAGCAAGACTTTTTCCTCGACAAATCTCACCGTCATGGAATAGTACGCGGCTAATGGTAATATCTGTTGCGCCAATTGTTTAAATGATACACCTAGAAAATCAAACTCAACACGCTCAATTTTGCCCCCGTGACGACTATTTAGATTTCTAATAATCTTTCGCGACGTTTCCTTAACGACATCCGGCGGTATAGTGAAAGTTTTAAGAGCGTAAGGACTGGTCAATGGTTCCGAGACGATGTACGATCCGTCTATTCCTTTCAAGCAATACAAAATGTCCCAAAGAAGTATGGATTCCTGAGATACAATTATCGGCACGACCTCTAGAAATAAATTTAATTGTTTAAGCCACACACGTCTTATCACATCCAAATCTCGCACTTCGCAACAAGAAACTGTTCACAAACTTTGATAATGCGTCACGGCGGCGTCACTGTGAAAGTCCCAAGTTATACGTGGACGTTCCACCACCCAATTGTGCTTCACCAAGGCGCCGTCACTTTTCCTACAGACTTGCTGATTTAATTTCTTCCCCCCTTCCACAGCAGCTTTAATTACAGTTTTGCAAATCTGTGGGACATTCGCAACATTACACGCGTCACACGCCAGCGTGCATCATGTAAGATAAATACAGCAATTAATTGCAACGCCAGCGTTATATAGAATCAAGGCGAATCTTGTGGAAGACATTACCTTCGGCAAGTCTTCCTGCGTGACGGTCGGATCCTTCAGGGAACTGGCCACCGCCCTCGGCACGGATCTCGACAAGTATCTCTTCAGCTGTTCGTCTTGAGATATCAACTCCAGAGTCTGCACGAACGGACCCAGCAGATCTACTCTGAAAACATATATACGTCGTTCCTTGCTCGCACGAGAACGTCAACAGTACTGGCCCTACGTTACGTCCGGCTCACTAACTTTTTCGACTTCAGCTCCTCGTACTTCTGCACAAACAATTCTGGCTGGGACGAGATCTTGGCGAGATGCTGGATGCAGCTGTGCGGAGCAACGGCGTTCAGCGCGTTCGCCGCCGAGCTCTCCTGCAGCTTCTCCAAGTGCCTCTCCGGGACGGACTCCGAACTGGGGAAAATAACACTCGCACGTGTTTGTCGCGGGCGATAATACGTTTCTCGCGAAAGTCCGCGGAGATCCGTTCAGATCCGCGTATTTGCAAGTTAAAAGGTAATATAGATTTGGTCGCTTACCCCAACAATTCAATCAACTGCACTATCAAATGGTGCAATTTAAATTCACTCATCGTTCCGGATTGCTCTGAATGTCAGCTGCAATTTCAACACCGAACGAGCAATCGGCCCATTCAATAATACTTGCAAATTATGCAAACTTTCCACGTAACAAACGTGAACCACGTAGACATTGCATTGGACCGCAGTGTCGCGCGACAAAATTTATCTGATTGCATATTTATTATAATAATTTAAACCGTGTGATTATAATTGTTATATAACTACATTTATCTATGTTTAAATGGTTTTACTTTTATCCTGGATCATTTTTGTTTTCGATCGGTACTGCGTATATCTGATACAATCAGAATTCTGAAAGATTTTGAAGAACACTAACTAATAACTTACGTATTTTCAGTAACAAAATGTGTCTTATGTATATTTAATACCATAAAGGTGCACTTTCACGTGCTGCTGAAATAAGCATGTGGAGCGACATATATATGGTTCGTTAAGTGGATACGTAATTTAAATAACACGTTGAAATTAAATCTTCGACCAGTCACTTACCTTAAAAATTAATCGAGTCATTGCAGTATGTTATTGAACGAAAAGGTCTACTTTTAAGTCTAGTCCTGCCTGAACATTCCATCCATCCAAAATGAAATAATATTCCAAGATTGCATTTGAGATAATCTTAAATAACAAACGATGATTGTCGCGCCAACAGCATCGACTCGGTAAAATTTCACACAAAACTGAAGGAAAAGAAACAAATTCCTCCTCCACCTCGCTTTTTCTTTCCATGAGATGCCTTCGAAGCAGAAAATGTATCAGACGTTTGCGACAAGATAGAAAGAAACTTTATTGAAACAAAATACAATAATTTTACCCTCCTAACCCATCTTACCAAATCACATTAATTTTCCTTTTTTTCCCCTCCAGCTTATCTTACGAATATCATATATACGAATTATAAGCTGCTTGACAAACTTGCTTGGTCGGAGCTTTAAAAATTACTTAAATACTAATATTACTTTGAATTTTCCTTTCTTCTTGGAGAAAGATTTCAGATACATATAATACAAGTGTTACAATTATCTTGTTCTATCGGAGCAATTATTAAAGAAAACCTTAGTGAATTTCGGATCTTAACTAAGGTTTCTTCAAAACTCTTTCATCATAAATCTTCAAAATCAATCAATTATTTTGCATTACAACAGTTTGATTAATAAAATAGTCTAACTGTAAAAACAAATTTGTACACATGTTAAAATAATATCTACTAATTTTAAGTTTTATTTATGGTAATGTATGTAGAAAAACAATTTTTATTTTAGTTTTTTTTCCTTAGAAGAAAAGAAGACCAGCATATGATGCAAGCGTTTTTTAGTAATATTTACATCCATTTAATTCAAATACTTTAACATTACCTAAAAATTAATATATATTGATTTAAAGACTTTGAGGGAAGAATTTTTCAAGAAATACTTAAAGTATTTGTCGAAGATAAGAGATTTATGTCGCCAGTAAATAGTTAACATTATCTAAAGTGATTTTTGTCGACCCAACTGGCAGGAAACTTTATTCGTGAATCTTACATCCACGAAGTTTTGACCATCCGGATTGTGGTCTTTATCAAGTGATTGGTAATAGTTAAAATTCTTATTGCGATTTACCCTTTTTTTTTATTCTTTTATTCTTATTACCCTGGCTGGGGTAATATTTTTTCGCAAAGTCTTAAATCAATATATATTAATAAAAAAATACTCTCATATTTCGAGAAAGAGAAAAAACTTATACGATAAACTACATTAATAAAGAAATATCGAAGTACATGCTAATAAATAAATAAATAATAAATAAATAAAACTTGAAAAAACAGTAATGATCTTTATAACTTTAGATTGCGAGCCTTCATTTGCAATTCGAACTGTCGATTTGTTCGCACACCCTTCAGCGTCATCTGCCTTGCACTTTGCTGTTTTTCCCTGTAAATATTCACATTCATATAAATACTCGTATGAATATTTGCCACAAAATTATCAAATTTTATATTAAACCATTTTAAAGTTTTACAGATAAAAATCCTAGCATCACTATAGTTGCAACGTTCGCGCGTTCAATAAAATTTACCAACACTTAAATTGGCTTAAGCTTGTAATGTATCTCGCGAATAAACTATAAAATTTCGTATAAAACTTGAAAAATATCTATCTTAAAAGAAATCTGGCCTACTTTGGAAAAACTGCTTGCTTTTTCAACACAATCTGCGTGACATCCGGTTTTTTCAACTTGAACCCGAATCTGTTGTGAATACCGTCCCTCGTCTCGCTTGGTAGTGGTTTCTTTCCCTCGGTTTTCATGTCGGCTCTTGCTTTGTTCGCTAGAAAAACGTTTTACGGAAAATGACTAACATTTATTGCTAATGTATGCAGACCAGTAAATATATTATCAAATTACCGAACGCTTGATGTCTGGCTTCCAAACGTTTCTTTGCATCCACGAGCGATTCCGATTTAGCAAACATTTGTTCATGTATTTTTCCATGTTCTTGTTTCTTCGTCGATGATTTTTTCTCTGTAAGTAAATACACGTTTGATTATACAATAAAATTCGATTAAGTGTACGGAATATAAGCTACTTTTGGTTTTGTCTTACCTGATTTCTTTTCGCTTAACACGAAAATTTTTGGCGTGACTTGAGTTCTGTTCAACTGAGCTCTCGGTGTGCCTCCGTGGAATCTTGGACTTGATCTCTTGAAAGAAGAAATCAGCGAGTTCCGAGTACGCTTCGGGGTTTCGATCTTTTTCGACTTGAGTACCGAATTCAAAATACTACCTCTATTTTGTGCGCCTACATCGCGTAAAGTATTTGATCCGTTCAGCTTGTTAATTGACCTTCGCACACTGCCTCCTCTAACACTGCTAGGTGTTACGTTCGCAAAGTGCACTTTGGCCTTCTTAACAGTATCCTTCAAGCTTAAGTCCATGTCTACCGAGGCGCGCTTCTTAGCCATTTGTCGCAAATTCAGCGTTTGCGGTTGTTCCAGTTCGTAGGTATCGTCTCTGTTCTTTTCCATCGTATTATCCTTGTCGTAAGTGGCGCTTCGTTTCGTGACATTCAAAAGGTGAGATCGACTAGTGTCATTCATTTCTTTATGAGAGAGAGAAGATTTAGATATATTTTCAATGTTTGTACTTTTGTCCATTGTGTTAGACAGATGCAGACTGGATTGACCCCTATGTCTTAAACTAGTAAGAGACGTGTTATTTACAGAACCAACAGAGGTGTCGGACCAGCTCGTGTCCTTTGATGTCATCATTTTCGCCGCCTGTGGAGTGGACGACATCAAAGGTGTGGACAATCTATTATTTTCTTGTGCGGACGCATTATATTTAATTCTTGGCGATATTCTATTAGTATTACTGCCGCGTGATCGCTCCATGCTACTATTCCGTGATCTAGAGTTGGAATTTCGCTTGGTAGACGAACCTGCAGAGATTTCTCTCATCGATATTAAAATCTTGGAATTTTGGCTTTCAGGCTTTCGCGGCTGTTGTCTTCTTTAGTCTTCATGGCTTCCGGATGGTTGCCGCGTCCGTTTGCAGTGTGGTGCCGACATTTCGCAGGCGTTGCAGTCTGCTTCATCAGGGCTGGGAGACTCTGATACTGAGCTAAATCTTGGAGTAAATCTTGGAATTGTTCCCCGCCCTGATCGAGGGAGATCTTACTTTGACTGGACTGCCCGATCGGATTTTGCCAGCGGCCATTAACACATTTTTCCGCTTCAAGTTCTCGAGCGACAGCTTCTCCACGAGCACTATTGGCTCCGCCAGTACGTCCTTCGTTTGCGAAGCCGTCAGCACCTCCGCCAGTTTTGAATTTAATAAAACTGACCTTATCAAACGATGTCTGTTCGATGACAAATACATCCCCTTGGATAATTGAGATTTTTTAATGCGAATTCTGGAATCGGACTTACTACGATTAGGACTAGGGGACGCGGGAGACGCGGAAGACCCGCGCTTCATCGGAGACGGAGACAAGTTCAACTTGGTCGATTTTGATTTCTTCGATTTCGGGGTCTTCAATATTATTTTCGGCGATTTCGAGAACCTACGTACAATTGTCCTCAAGTTCACAACGCTCTTCTTACGCTTGTCCTTTCCCGTGGGCGACATCGACGCGCTCTTGTTGGACACGGGGCTATCGCTCAGACTGTTCTTCTTGCTCCTCCGTGATTTCCTAGCGCGAGGCTCGCAGTCCGTTTCCCCTAAATTCTCCTTGGAGTTCTCACCCGCGAGGGACAATTTTCTCGGGCTCTTAAACAGTTTTGATTTCGTCATCGAGTGCGTCTTCGGAGAACCTAGGAAGACCGGCGACTTCTTAGGCGTCTTCTTAGATCTGTGAGGCGTGAGACTGAGCTTGGGAGGCGTGCTCTTGGGAGTAACTATAACGGGCGACGCTTTCGTCGAGGTCTTGCGTGGCAACTTTCCATTCGGAACGATCTCCGAGTTCGTCTCTCGGGACACTCGGCTGAAGCGTGTTACGCTCGCCAAGTTCCACCGTGACATTGTCGCAGTGTCGGTTTCTCAATATTCTGATCGACTCGTTGGAACCCACGGTCCGATTCGCATCCTCGCTTCCCGCCGTTTCGTCCAAATTGCAACAACGTTGCTGAAACATTTCGCAACCTCCATGCAATGTTACAATGTTGCAGTGAAAGGTGTATGCGATGTTTCTGCAATCTTTCGGCGCTGTATGGGCGACCACTCGCGACAATTGTCTGACCGTTGCTTTCTCCCGCAGTATCTGGTCATGGATTATTATTGCGGAGGAGATTTATTGACGTTACTGAGCAAATTCGAGGATCGTCTGCCCGAGGACATGGCTCGATTCTACATAGCCGAGATGGTGCTAGCTATAGGTTCCATACATGACTTGCGCTATGTACATCGTGACATTAAGCCCGATAATGTTTTACTGGACGCGAATGGTCATATCAGATCGCTTCATCGATTCTATTCTCCAACTCTCTATGCAGCTTCTCGGCTTTCCGAATATCGTGGCGTAAAGTATCGACCTTCTGCATAGCGACCTCCAACTCTTCCTCCTTGTCTCGAACCTGTCTCGATAACTTTTGCTTCTGCTGCCGCAGCTCGGATAATTTGTCCGACACTTCCGTATATTCCGCCATCGCGAGTTTACGTTGCGTGAGCGCATCCTTCAACTCTTTGTCCTGAAGCTTCAATTTCTCCTGCACGTCCAGCTTGTCCTTGATAGCTTCTTCCTTCTCCGTACGTAGACACCGAACTAGCTTCTCAAGTTCCCGGAATTTCGTCATGTCACCGTTATCTAAAGTTTGTAATTCGCGTGGAACTTCCATCGACTTCAACTGCGACTCCAACTCTGTACGGAATAAGAAGATATTAACGCCGTGAAACACACACACATACGCAGAACGAATTATCGACAATTCAAACTCGTAACGTTACCACAACTGCGTTTCGTAAGCGTATTTATTTCATCTTGAAGTTTTCTGGTCGCATTATTAGAATCCGGCGAGATACCAGGCGAAGTGTGACTAATACTCGATTGATTTTTCATATCATCAATAGTTTGTATCAGTCGTGCATTTTCTTCCTCTAGTATCTGCATGCGTTTGTCTGTCTGTGTTAGGGCAGAAATACAGCCCAGATCCGATATGCAACTGCAATGTTAAAAACCGAAGTAGATAAATTGTATTGCTGATAAACGACGGTCGATTCGACGTGTAACAGGCTATCCGTGACTCGACTCGCCCACTATTTTACAGCACGCCGTGGATACGGTAATCAATTTCAACGAGAGTGACATCGCTGTCGAACTATTTTTAGGATCAAATCGACTTTATATTACGTTCGCGCAAAAAACAATATTGCCGCCACCAACTCTGAATCGAGCTGGTTAGCGAGAATCAACGTAATACAAACGACGCAAGAGGCACGGAAAGACTAATATGCAAGAGATGTGCGATTTGTTGCAAAAATATTTACGAAACAACAGATTCAATCAGATAAAGCGCATCTCTCGCCGCACCGTACCCGCTTTATTTATTAATAGCAATTGTTACTTGGATCATATGATTTCTACTTCTACAAGTCGTCCTTGTATCACGAAACTAAAGAAATGACGGAGCGTTAATATTCGTGGGCGTCGAATCGACGTGTATATACAGACACACAATGTAAATATGACAGAAAGAGAAGATACGTACCTTCCTTGCGTGAAACTAAAACCAACAAATGGCAAATGAAGCGCGGAAAAGGCAGAATTTGCGGCTGGTGGAACGGCATCGGAAGTGCGAACGTCGGTGTCGTCAACGTCAAAGTTGGACGTGTCGCTGGGCGATGAAACTTCAGGAATGTAGGTTGTAGTTGGAGTCGCAGTTGAAGTCGATGGAAGTTCCACACGAATTACAAACTTTAGATAACGGTGACATGACGAAATTCCGGGAACTTGAGAAGCTAGTTCGGTGTCTACGTACGGAGAAGGAAGAAGCTATCAAGGACAAGCTGGACGTGCAGGAGAAATTGAAACTTCAGGACAAAGAGTTGAAGGATGCGCTCACGCAACGTAAACTCGCGATGGCGGAATATACGGAAGTGTTGGACAAATTATCCGAGCTGCGGCAGCAGAAGCAAAAGTTATCGAGACAGGTTCGAGACAAGGAGGAAGAGTTGGAGGTCGCTATGCAGAAGGTCGATACTTTACGCCACGATATTCGGAAAGCCGAGAAGCTCATGGAGAGTTGGAGAATAGAATCGATGAAGCGAACACCTTGTCCGAGCCGCGCATTCTCACGACCCATACTTCCCCGAAAGCACCTCTGCCAATGACCTTGACGATCTCAAAGTCCTCCCGCGTCAACTGCCAATTCTTGATGCACGAAGCTATCGGTTTCACTGCAAAAGAAATCAGCGGATGTAACTGACGGTGCGTGTGTGTTTGTGTCGGGTACACAGGAGGTGTAAGGCCCGGTCTACAATGAGTTGTGATTCGTTAATCAGAAATCGGAACTATATGTTGTTCCTTTTCCTTTCTAGGTGGAAGAAAAAGGTCCGTCATATAGTTCTGACTTCTGACTAACGACTCATCATAGACTGGGCCTAAGAATCGAGATGGCAGAATTGCCATCTCGCCGAGGCGAGATTCGCGAGGGACGGTCGCTCACCGAACTCAATTAAGTCGGAAACAGTCTTCTCACGGCGTAACGAAGAATTGCAACATTCGTCGTAGAGCACGAGCAAAACGTCGATAAGCAACTCGATCGAAATTTTGTGACTCGCCCGGCCGCTTTGGGCAGAACCGCCAATGAACAGCTCCTCGAGTTGGTGTAATTTCCCTCCTATGCCTAAACAGAAGAAAGTTTCTAAATCGGGTGTAAATTAACAGACGGCGAAAGGTGAGAATAAACGTGCGCGTCCGCACACACGTGTTATACAAATGTATTGCAAGATATGGCGATCTCTTTTGCGGGTCAACGTTTTCTATCGAAACGTGAAAATCGTGCAGGTACGTGGATAAATCGACGTATTGTCTAACACACAAAGGAATATTCTAGTGCGACAAAGCAAGTTCCTAGGGTGATCAAGGGAGACGGTTGAAGCTCGAGAACGTTGAGCTGCAAAAAGATGCAATTATGGACGCAGCGTAGACGTGCCGTATTGGATCGATGGTTACTATCTCTCTTTCTCTCACTCTCACTCTCTTTCTGTCTGTAGTGCCCACCACAAGAGCTTTGGCCTGCCCTACCCACCTCCCATGGGACTCTGTTAGAAGAGAGAGAAGGAGAGAGAGAAAGAGAGAGAATGTTGTGACGCTGTCGGTTTCTCGTCTTGGTGATGGAGCGAAGCTCGACTGTTTATTATTGATTTAACAGTCCTGCTTTCCTTCTTGAGTTATTCACAGATGTTATTAACTTCGTGAGTGGCTTTTCTGCATAGAATTTGAGTTTGACTGATTCTGGTTATGGATATTGAAGTTGGAACTTTGAATTACTGATTATATCTGAAGTACAATCATCGAATTACGTAGAACGTATGTGGCAAGCAAAGAAACAAAGTGCCTTGTAAAGACGGGACCAGCGAGCGGGTGTGAAAGGGAGGAAAGAGGTTCTCTCGCAGCTACGAGCTAAGTTTTTCTGATCAGCATTCAGTTGCTTGATGCATTAAGTTGCATATTTGTTGCTACCAGACATCGTTTTCCTTTTATGTTCTGCTTTCGTAAAGGTGCTTTCAGCACATTAATGCAAACTAATAAGTGCTATTAGTACATCCACGCCAATTCATTTTATGAATACTCGAAGGTGCTTTTAGCACGCGGAAATGATTTGTTGTTCTTTTATTTCGCAAATCTTGAATACTTTTGGAGCATTTTGCTCAATCGTTCTTTTCAGCGTATTGATCTTATTCATGCAACTAATCTACGTTTAAAGAAGCCAAAGATCTCCCCGAAATTTGCTGAGAGAGCCAGAAACAGAAGATTAAATTCAAGAGTAATCCTAAAATACTATTTTCCATACAGTCCTATTATTTTATGTAATAAGAACCAGAATATAATTGATTGATAAAAACAGACTCGCTGATGATGGTAAGGGGCTACCTCCCGCCCCCAGGCACCCACCCACGGATATAAGTAGTTCCACAGGTCCACAGTACTTTCGCTTACGTACGACTATCTGTATTGTAATTGTGTTTTTTTTTTGCGAGAGGCAGTTTCTTTATGTCAGATAAGAGAGAAGTTCTCGAGAGACGATCCTCTTTCAACCAAAAAAAGGGGAAAAAGTTTACTCGACCGCCCTCGAAGGTTCCGTGATCGTTTCATCGAGGAACCATCTTCCTCGATTGCGGCGAGGTGCGGGATTTTCTAAGTTTTACAAGTTGTGTGAGCTTTCAAAACGTGCGAACACCACACATACGCCGGGTAGCTTGGCAACAATAACAAATGTTAATAACAGTTTCTCCACTTTTCATGATAACCGCGCGGAAAATCTCTCCTCTTCGGCAGGGATGGGGGGGATAAAGAAGCTGCATCCGTATCGTATAGAATTCGTTCCCACTATTTACTAAACGAAATGTATATACCTACGTGTACTACGAATATTAATATAAATGATATGGAAAAGTCATAGAAGTATACCCAAACCCAGCTATACCGTAATAGTGCCCCACCTGTGTCCTATCTTTTCCTTGTATTTCTGCAGAGCGCGCTCCGCAACATCTTTGTTAACAAATTGAAGCCTCCCCAGTACTGCGGCCCGTGTAGTCGGTAGCGAAATTCCGTTCGGCAAAATCTCCAACCCTGACCCACACATAATCAAAGATCGACATTGTAGCTTAGAGTCACCCATTAGGAAAAAGAAGTTATTGGTCAAGATTATTAAAAAAA